TACTGCAGGAAAGTTAACAAAGGCAAGACCTCCTTCCGCAAGGGGTTGATACATATAGCCAATCTTTTTATTTTGTAGTTCTTGTTTTTCCACAAGAAATTAAAGAGCTCTGCTTGCAAATTTTTTATTACTGAAGTCGGGACAGATAGCATGGACGTTGCGTAGATCAATAGTTTTCATTGCTCTAATCCTGTTCATGAAGTTCTCTTCAACATATTTTGGTTATATGACAGAAAGGTACCAAATACTTTAATTGGATCTTCGTACTTTTGAATTCCAGTATCTTAGAATGGCTGTGTTTCATTGTGCCTATAACCACATTGCCTTAGTCTTCTTTTTGTTTAATTTTAAGCCTGAAACTGTTCCGAAGCAATCGATGACTTGGAGATGTGACTTAAGAGAGTTCACGTTGCTAGTTATTATGGCAGTATCATCTGCGAATTGTGAAATTTTTACTTCTTGATCATTTGGTAACTGTATGCCTCCACAGAATAAACATAGACTGCAAGAATAAACATAGACTCAATCCTTATTAACTTGGGTTGTACTTAAATAAGAGTTGCAGTGTTTTTTTTTTTTAAGGGATGCTGCCAGCATTACATCCCTGACGTGATATCAAAGGCAAAATGTTAGCAAATATCGAACTGGTTATTTTGCATTGACCCTGTTATAGCTGTTCCAGGAGCATCAGATTATGTCAGCTATTTTACACCCAGAACTTCAGTAATATATAGATTTAGCCAAGGCTAAAAGCAAAGCTCTGGGCCGGGTTGTTCAAAGCCTGATTAAGCTAAACCAGGTTAAGCGAGAATTTTGATTTGAGTTTTGTAACTTTGCGGTGAGATTTTGTTTTCTCAAGGCTAACATTCTGCGGCAAAAACATTGATTGATTGCTTAAGAATTAGTTTGTATTGGTGGGGTAGAAATGTTTGGGTAATCCTTTAGGAGATTGTGAAATTCTTAAGACTCTGAAGCAAAATTTTAAGAGGAAAGAATTATTTGCACTTTGTTTTTATGCAAGTTTAGCAAAATTCATAAACAAAATACTTACTAGTTACATATTGGATTTGCAGGCAAGTTGTTAGAGGCATAGATCACAGGATCAAGGACTGTGGACCCAGAACAACCCAGAGAAGAGGACAGAGGACAGAGGACTCAGAACAGAGGACCAAGGAGCAAGGATAGGACTGAGGACTGACAACTGTGGATCAAGGACAGTGGATGACAGCAAACCTTGAATGACAAACTTTCATAAGCTGAAAATTAAGGTATCTGAGGTTACCGGCAGCAGAGATGGCACAGTGCACCTTGCCCCGAGGGTTTTTCTCCGGGTACTCCGGTTTCCCTCACTCCTGATAAACCAATATTTCCAAATTACCAGTAGCAGAGATGGCACGGTGCACCTTGCCCTGAGGGTTTTTCTC